CATGCGAGATGTAAGTGACAACCCTTATGGTTTGCACATGAATGATCGGGCTGCATTTTGATAGGCGTTGCAAATGTCCTTGCAGACCTTTTTGTGGCATTTTGGGAAACAGGAAGACTTGAAGAAAGATTGGGGGAACCCGTATCGTTCTATTCTGCCCGATGTGTTGCACGTGATACTCAATGGAGTATGGGTGTACATACTCCATCAACTCGTGTGCAATAACAAGAACGTTAAAATCATGAACGAGTGAGTTCCGATCACTTTCAAAACCTTTTCAACAGTTTGCAGTTCTCCGACTAGTTTCCTCCACCCAAGTATCTTTCTCGTGTTTGCTTTGCAGGAGGCATCGCATTGTGTACCGGGAGGCTCGTTTTGCAGGGATCAAGATTCCACCCCCTGGCCGCTATTTCAGCCTTGGGGCCAATTTCTCAGCGGCGGATCATGCAGCAATGCTTCGGGTGAGTGGTTTTAGCTCGCATTTTGCTTTGTCCCACACGTACCCCGAACGTTGGTTAAGTAGGTCGTGTGGTTGTCGCTGGGTGTCTTTGAAACTCGTTCCCCCCTGCGTTTATCAGGTTGTGGTGTTCATCATGGAAGGGCTGATTTCGCCATCGGAACTCTATGTGCTGCGTTACTTTGTGACGTGGTTTGACAAGTTCTTCCGTGGAACCTCGTACGACGATGCCATGCTCGACGAATACGTGAAGGAAACTGCAGAGTAAGTATTCGTGTTTTAACCTGCTAGATCGCAAACCGAGAACGCATGTGTAAGGCTATGTGTGGGACACTCAAGCACCCTCTTGTCTGATGGTTCTCCCACGTTTTTCCTCCACGCTTCATTGCAGATCCTTTGTCTTCACTCTTCCCCACGTTACTTGCGTTTGACCCGTCACATGTTCGCAGAATTGTTCGGATCGTGAAACTTGTGCTCCCACGAGGTGGCAACGGTTGGAAGCTGGTAAAAGTGCACTTGCTTCTGCACTTCCCAGATGCGATCAGGCGAGGCGGATTGCCACGCGAGTTTTTCACTAGCTTGTTTGAGCACGCACACACCGCGACGTGCAAGCGTCCCTTTCGCGCCTCAAACCACCGGCAATTTGACGCGGCCATCATGCGCAATGCGGTCATGCGGGATGCGTTGAGCCATCTGCCCACGTCGGTGGCTGAGAGCGGGCACTACGACACCGCTCTCATGAAGGTATTGCACACATACACCCGGTGATCGAACGCATGGATGTTGTGAAGGTGTGAGTTTGACCTGCCGTTGGCCCTTTTAATGCTCACTAAACCCTTATTCTCTAAGCAGGCCGTTGAGCTCAACAAACAAGTGTTGACAACAAAGTCAACGACCATGGAGCTTCCGTGTGCAGTGAATGGACAAGTCGGAGATGCGCTTTGGGCATCGTTTGTTCAGCACCATGGGCGTGGGATGTTTGATCTCATTGCGTTGCTGTCACAAGCCCATCTTGACACAAGATTCGTTAAGGTAAGCATGGGCAATTTGGGTTTAGTACCACACCACATCTCTGTTGGACGACTTTGTGGGATGTTGTTACATGTCTACACCTTTCTTGTGCATCTGACGTTCGCGCTCAGCCTTGACCTCCCATCTTATGGCATCATGGGTTGCTAACTACACTTCTTGGCCTGCAAGCCAGTCACTACCAAACATTGATTCACCACCTCAGCCTAGGCAATGGCCGCACATGTGCGACAGGCGGGCCCTACAGGTGCTACATGGCAGCAATTCACCGCCCTCACACCGACTTCCCCTCTCTCTCCCCCGTCCTTCTCCCCACCTTACTCTCTCCTAGCATGCGTAGCACCTCAGCCTTGGCAAAGGCCGAGTCGGTGAGACAGGCGGGGCCTACACATGCTGCCATGGCAGCAATTCAGCGCCTCACACTGACTTCCCCTCTCTCTCCCCCGCCCTTCTCCCCCTCTGCCTCTCTCCCTTCATGCGTACCACATCAGCACAGGCGTTGGCAGCGTCAGGGCGATAGACGAGGACAACACTTGCTGGCATGCACACAATTTTGCGCTCTCGTATTGACCTCCCCTCTCTATCCCCCGTCCTTCCCCCCCTTTGCCTCTCTCCCAGCGTGCGTAATACCTCTGCCCAGGCACGGGCGGCGTCGGTGTGATAGGCGAGGCCATCACTTGCTGGCATGCACCCAACTTCGCGCTCTTGTATTGACTGCCCCTCTCTCTCCCCCGCCGTCTCCCCCCCTTACTCTCCCCTTGCATGCGTAGCACCCCAGCCTAGGCAAGGACTGCATCGGTGTGACATGCGGGGTCTACACGTGCTGCCATGCACACAAAATTCAGAGCGTCGCCCTCATTTCCCCTCTCACTCCCACGCCATCAACCCATTTGCCTCTCTCCTTGCAAGCTTAGCACCTCAGCCTAGGCACGGGCCGCGTGGGTGTGACATGCGAGCCGTGCACTTGCTGGCCTGCGAGCAATTCACCCCCTTTCACTGACTTCCGCTCTCTCTCCCCCGCCTTCTCCCCCCTGCCACTCTCCTTGCATGCGTACCGCCTCAGCCAAGGCACGGGCAGCGTCGGTGTGATAGGCTAGGCCAACACTTGCTGGCATGCACCCAATTTTGTCCTCTCGTATGGACTTCCCCTCTCTCTGCCCCGCCTTCTCCCCACCTTACTCTCCCCTTGCATGCTTAGCACCTCAGCCTAGGCAGGGACCGCATCGGTGTGACATGTGGGGTCTACACGTGCTGCCATGCTCACAAAATTCAACGCGTCGCCCTGATTTCCCCTCTCTCTCCCCTGCCATCTACCCCTTTGCCTCTCTCCTTGCAAGCGTAGCACCTCATCCTAGGCACGGGCCGCGTGGGTGTAACATGCGAGGCTTGCACTTGCTGGCCTGAGAGTAATTCAACCCCTCTCATTGACTTCCGCTCTCTCTCCCCCGCCTTCTCCCCCTCTGCCACTCTCCTTGCATGCGTACCACCTCAGCCTAGGCACAGGCCGCGTCGGTGTGACCGGCTAGACCAACACTTGCTCGTGCACAATTTCGCGCCCTCACACCGACTTCCCCTCTCTCTCCCCCGTCCTTCTCCCCACCTTACTCTCTCCTAGCATGCGTAGCACCTCAGCCTTGGCAAGGGCCGAGTCGGTGAGACAGGCGGGGCCTACACATGCTGCCATGGCAGCAATTCAGCGCCTCACACTGACTTCCCCTCTCTCTCCCCCGCCCTTCTCCCCCTCTGCCTCTCTCCCGGCATGCGTACCACCTCAGCCCAGGCACAGGCTGCGTCGGTGTGATAGGCTAGGCCAAGACGTGCTGGCAAGCACACAATATTGCGCTCTACCCTAGACTTCCCCTCTCTCCCCCGTCCTTCTCCCCACCTTACTCTCTCCTTGCATGCGTAGCACCTCAGCCTAGGCTAGGGCCGCGTCGGTGTGACAGGCGGGGCCTACACGTGCTGCCATGGCAGCAATTCAGCGCCTCACACTGACTTCCCCTCTCTCTCCCCTGCCATCTACCCCTCTGCCTCTCCCCTTGCATGCGTAGCACCCATTGGCTTGGCACGGGCCGCGTGGGTGTGTTAAGACGAGGCCAACACTTGCTGGCCCCCCTCTGATTGACTCCCGCTCTCTCTCCCCCGCCTTCTCCCCCTCTGCCACTCTCCTTGCATGCGTACCACCTCAGCCTAGGCACGGGCCGCGTCGCTGCGACGTGCGGGGCCTACGGTGTGTGTGGGATGCAAGCAATTTACCGACTTTCGTACATTCCGCGGATACCGCAGGCTAACTCGCGTCCACCAAACTCCTAAGGCCCTTGATCTCATTGGGTTACTGACTAGCAGTTCACATGCTCGTGTTCGACTAATTATTGTTTATCGTGCACTCCTATCTACCATCAGGTGCACACTGCGTTGGCCCTTCCTCCGGGTGACGATTTTGAGGCTCACTACGCTCGAGCGGCGTTAAGCTTCCACGACGCACCGACTTTCTCCTATGTTGCAATCCTTGGACATGAGGATGCACCTTTGGGCGCTTCAATAATAACAACATGGTATGGTCAATTAATGCTGCTGTTTCATGTCGAGAGATTTGTGGAGGGGCGTGTCGAAAAGATGCCGTATGCATTGGTGAAGTACTATGAGGTGGGGGATGTGGATCGCGTGACTTCATGCACGTTATTGCACGAGCCACAGCGCGCCGTGAAGCATCAACTCGTTGAGGCCAAGTCAATTTTGCGAACTCTCCATGTTGTCCGCTCCTTCGACCGTAGATCGTTGTCATACATCAACCGATTTGGAGCGGAATGAATTGACCGTGCGGTATACTTGCATTTAATTATTGTATTCTTGTACATTTGTATTTAATACGCCATGCAATAAGGGGTTTACATTGTTTGTATAGCGTTTGCACCTAAGGCCACCGTTCGAGATTTTTTTTTCAGAACTATCAGCCTGCAACGCCCTGTCGGCAACCACACTCCAATTACAACACCGCACAATCTACGGAAAAAAACTAAAAAATGATGGCAGTTGCGTTCTGATTCGCTATCTGTAAAGTTGCTTTCCGCAACTTCGATCCCGTCGGGTTCGAAACCTCCGCTGAACCTGCGCTCAACATGCGGCAACATACCCCGCACCTACGCTCGACCTACCCTCAACCTGCGCCATACATTTGGGGTGCGAACGTAGGCTTTTCAGAACCTACGTCACACCCCTCACCATTTTTGGGATGTGCGGAACGGCAGGCGGAACTGGAGGCGGACGGATGGGCGGAAGCGAGGGCGGAGAAGGAGGAAGCGCGCGAGGCGGGCGCGGGTGAGGAGGGCGCGTGGCGGTGGCATGGGAGGCGCACCATGGGGGTGAGGAGGCGGTTCAAGCGAGTGCGGCGGAAGAGGAGGAGCAACAGCAGGGCAAGGCGGAATGGTGGGGGAGGAGCAGGCGGAGGAAGCGCAAGGAAGGGAACGCGAGCGACATGGCGGGTGCGGACTGGGGGGGCGCTGATGTGGCGAATATGGTGCGTGGAGCAGGGCAGTGGCAAGTCGGGGGACGGGAGGGGGAAGGCGGTGCTGCAGGGACGGCAGGGGACGAGGCACATGGGGTGAGGGAGGCAGTGGCTGAGATGAGGGCGAGAGTGGGCCGGCTGGAGAAGAGGAGTGATGAAGGGGTGAAGATATGGGAGGTGAGAGCAGGGATGGTGGGCAGGTTTCCTGTATGGGACATGGATGATTATTGAGAGAGAGGCGCAGAGATGGGCGCAGGGGGAAGGGGCGGAGGAAGGGTGGATTCGCGCGGAGAGATGGCGCGAGGATGGCGGAGCGGGGGAGCGAGGGCAGGGAGGGGGGGGAAGGCAGGGAGGGGAAAGAAGGGAGGTAGGGGTGGATGGTGGGGATTTTAGAGAGAAACGAAAGCGTGGGTGGGGGGAGGGAGAGGGTATAGGGGAGAGATTTTTTTTTATTTATTTTTTTTTTTTTTTTGCTTTGGGATCTATGACGTGGGATCCAATGAAGGCTTGCATGGGGCGTGGAGAAAGCATGTCCTAACATGATGCACACGTGTGTCACTCGTGCTTGTCTCACGTTGCATGCAGCTCACTGTTGTGCCAGTCACTTCCCATAATTCCCCTCTCTCACCCCAGCTCCTCTCCTTACGTCCCTTGCTCCTCCCTGCTCCCATGCTCTGCCCTGTCCCTTTGCTCCGCCCTGTCCGCTTCTTCTGCCCTGCCCCCTTGATATTCCCTGCCTCCTTCTTCCGCCCTGCCCCTTGCCCCGCCGTGCCGCCTTCTTCCGCCCTTCTGCCATGTGCCACCTTGCTCCCGATGCAGGCGCTGATGGCGGTGTGGGTGGCAGCGGCACCGCAGAAGCTGGGCGTGAAGCTGGCGGGCATCTCCCATCTCTCCGACACCGCACTCGCCACGCTGCGCCACCTGCACTGCCTCAGGAGCATCATCAGCCTGGAGAGCTCCTCGGGCTTCACAGCAACGGGCGTGCAGGAGCTCTTCGCCTGCCCGCACGTGGGCTGGCTCAGCCTCGCCTGCACCGCCGTCACAAACGCAGCGCTGGAGGGCATCGGGCGGCTGAGGAGGCTCACGGACCTCCACCTGTCGCACACCAGCATCACCCATGTGGGACTGGCTCACCTCGAGGGGTTGCCGCAGCTGCGCGTGCTGGCGCTCACTGGGTGCCGCGGGGTGACAGCTGCGGGTATGGTGCACATGGCACGGTTGGGGACGGTGGAGAGGTTGGAGCTGAGGGGCAGTGCGGTGGGAGAGGAGGGGTTGCAGCACTTGACGGCGCTCACCCGCCTGAGGCACCTCTCGGTGCCGCCAGGCGTGAGTGACTGTGGCATGAAGTACGTGAGGGGAATGGCTCAGCTGGAGAAGCTGGGGTTGTGGGATGCCGAGGTGACTGCAGCTGGTGTGCAGTGCCTCTGGAACCTCACCCACCTGCAACAAGTGGCGACGAATGATGAGCGCATTCAAGGCTGGATTGCCACTGTACCGTCATACCCCGGATAGAAGCGCCCCTGGGGTTGTAATAAAACACTGTTTTTTAGGGGGTGCGCTTATAATTGAGGAAATTTATAAGCGCCGGCGTTTATATAACGGCAAAATGAAATTAAGTTATATTTTTACTTTAAGCTGTACATCTCGTTCTGCCAATTGTAATCGAGTCGAAAATATATGGGGTCGCGAATCTGATTCTCGCGCAACTTGGCAGGGATTGATTCCCTGCCAACACATGCTGACTAAGCGACAGCGCGTGCTGACTAGACGCGCAGCAAGTGTGATGTGAGTGGGAAAGTGGAACTGTACACTTCGCTTCCCTGGTAAGGTGAAATTCGTTTCTGTATTTCGACTGATTTTCAGATAATATTCGACATGCGCTTATAATAAATCATAAATTTTTAGGGGGTGCGCTTATAATCGAGGACCGGATATAAGCGCCCTCATCCCTTTATAAGCGCCGGCGCTTATCCGAGGCCTGCGCTTCTATCCGGGGTATGACGGTACTGCCCCATGCTTTTGTAGGAGCGGAGCTTATGTATTTTTGAGTGACATCATTTTTCAGTTTGGAATATCGTTCTGCACTAACACAGGCTGCACACTCCGTACCCGATGCCTCAGAGGAAACCACTTAAAAAGGGTACCATACATTACCCCTGTTGTGGGCTGCATTCCCGTCATATTATAGAGAGTGCAAAAAAAAAAACATAATGCGCCTAATGTGGATGTGTTGAGTAGAAATATGGGCGATAGAAACACCACCAACCCTAGAATGTGTTGGGCTGAGATGAGCCCTTATGATCTTTTCAGGGGTGAACTCAGGGTAGGAACCTTGTAATAGCGGAAGCGTTTAATGAAGAGTTTGTGAACCACCTTGCGCTAGTATGTGAGGGCAAAGTAGATTGATTATATCAAAGAGATACAAGATTATATAATAGTACAAGGAATATAAAAAAGGTACGGTTATAACTACTTTACTGTTTGCTGTTGCGGTTCGATACAGTACGACTCGGGCAACTGCTCTGTAACGAGTCAGTTGTGTGTCCTTAACTGTCGCGCTGTACTTGTCAGGTCAAAGGTCGCTTGACCTTTGACTTTCGCGTAACCTCCAGCAACCTCTCAACCTCCGAGGGTTGACTCGCACTTGCTTCGATATTGTTTTCGTCACTTCTGGTGCGATGTTTCGACACGGCTGAAGCGCTTAAGTTTCACTGTTTCCAACACTCCCCTTCGCTTCTGGAGTGTCGCTGCTGGTGACGTGGCTTTGTCCAGTCAGCAGTATGCAGTACTCGAATTTCTGCTTTCCGAGCTTCTTGGTCAAATAGTCGGCTGCCATCTCGGACGTGGGGCAGTATGACAGCTGAAGTCTCCCCTTCTCGATCTCGTCCTTCACGAAGAAGTAGCGTAGGGCGATGTGTTTCGTCCTGTTCGCAAAGCCGTTCTTGTTGGCGATGCGAATTGCCGACTGGTTGTCGCAGAACAGGGTGAAGTTGGGTAACTCGGCTAACTTCGCTTCTTCCAGCAGCTCGCGAAGATAAAGTCCCTCCTTGGTGGCTGAGCAGAGTGCAATGTATTCTGCTTCAGCTGATGATAGCGCGATTAACTCCTGCTTGCTCGACTGCCAGGAGATAGGACCGATAGGTTCGAGGCGGTAGATGTAGCCGGTGCGTGAGCGCCTGTTGTCGGAGTCGCCGGCGTGATCGGCGTCGACGTAGCCGATTAGCTTAGTTGGTGTAGTTGCGTTCTTGTGGTAGGTTAAGCCGATCGTCGGGGTGCTGATGAAGTAGTGAAGAGCGCGGTCGAGCTCCGCTAGGTGTTCAGTTTCGGGCCTTTTAAGGTAGGTGGCGAGTTGGCTTGCGGAATATGAGAGGTCGGGACGGCAGGTGACAGCTGCGAAGAGGAGGCATCCTAGCTTCCTCTGATAGTCGCGTATGCCGGCTGGCTTGAGGAGAGCAGATCTTCCTTCGTTAGTTCCCGTCGTGTAGCGATATGGCGTGGAGATCGTGGCTGGTGTGAGACCGAAGCGCTTGGCGATGGTGTCGGCGTACTTCTCGGCGCTGAGGTAGATTGCGTCCTCTTCTTCTCGGATGTTGAGGCCGAGGTACTGAGTGACGGTAGGCGAGACCGTGAGTGTGAGGTCTTGCTGTAGCTCCCCTTCGAACCAGGTAGTGATACCGTCGTTTGACCCGATGTAGAGGAGATCGTCTACGTAGACGATTAGCAGGACGTAGTCGTCGTTCTTCGTGAGTCGGTACATGCCTTGGTCGTGCGGGAGTTGCTTGAAGCCGATGCGGATGAGGCGAGCGTGCAGGTACTGTTGCCACAGTCGCGGAGCCTGCTTGATGCCGTAGAGCGACTTGAGCAGCTGGCAGACTTGGTTGGGCTCTCCGTAGGACCCGTGCGGTAGCTCGACGAAGATTTCTGCATCCACAGGTGCGTAAAGAAACGCGTTGATGTTTCTGCTGCTGCTGTTGTTGTCTCTGCTGCTGCCGATGTTGTTTCTGCTGCTGCCGATGTTGTCTCTGCTGCTGCCGATGTTGTCTCTGCTACTGCCGATGTTGTCTCTGCTGCTGCCGACCGTTGAATCGTTGCTAACGCTCTTGTTCTTTCTGTTTCAGGAATGGTGTGTGAGTACCAGAAGCCGCCCGGACTGAAGTCTGGATCAAGATCCGGAGGATGTGTCCAGTTGGTGAAGTTTACGATGGCGTCGCTGTCGGCCGTGCCAAGATCAGGAACGAAGTCAAGAACGAAGACGTTGTTCTTGAGGACCGCCTTCCCGATGTAGAGGCCTCCTCTCCCGTGGTGCAACGTGAACTCCTGAGTTGTGCTGTCTGCTTCAAGATGAATACCCTTCGCCATCAACTGGCTGACGCTCAGTAAGTTGTAGCCGAGGCCTTCTGCGATTAAAACCTTGGACATTTGCAGGATGACGTTTGTTTCACGTGACTGAAGTTGGACGATTCCTTGTCGTCGTGTGCGCAGGTTCTGGTTGTTGGCGACGGTGATGACTACTTCTCGTTGAAGCTGATACTCTCGTTGCACGAAGCGTCCCGAAGAACACATGTGCTGGCCGCAGCAACTGTCCAAGAACCATGTGTCTTTCCCGGATGGCTCGCTTTGGGCGATGGCGGCGTACGTCGGGTTCGGTTGAAGTAGCTCGCGGTGAGGTGTCGTTTCATCGAGCTGTTCTTCTGGTGAGTAGTACGGTGGTGATTCCGTGACGCAAGAGTCACTCAGTCTTGCCATACAACTAACGATGTTTCTTGCTCCTTGTGCAGGTTGTCCCGTTGAGGTCGTTGCAGTTTGAATTTGAGTCGTTGGATTCGCCTGTGTTGACGTGACTTGGTTGCTTGAAGGTCGTAGCTGTCGCTGCGGAGTCGTTGACTGTTGACGATTCGGGAGGTACGGGCTTCGGTTGTTGTTGTCGATGATTGTTGTTGTTGTAGCGTCGCTGGGTGTGGAATGCAAATTCTGATGCTGTTGTCCTTTTCTTGTGTCGTTCTTCTTGCAGGTCCATGTCCTGCTGCTCGGCGTGGATTTCGGCGCAGAGTGCTGCTTCAGAAATTCTTCCGTGGGCTCGAAGAATGGCCTTTGTTGCGCGCCATTGGGGACCGAGGCCGCCGATGATGACTGTCACGAAGGCGTCTTCAGATATTGTCCCTCCGCATCGAAGAAGCTTGTCGCGCAACTCGCGACAGCGACTGATATATGCCAGCCCCTTTTCTCCTGGTTTCATTTCGACTGTTGTCAACTGCGCCATTAACCTGCTTTGGTTTACGCTGTCTGTTGCTTGATACAGGTTCTTCAGGTGGCTGTATGCAAGCTCCGCCGAGTTACCGAAGGCCCGGTAAGACCGTATGTTCTGCTGCTGAGTCGGTGTGACGTTTCTCAGTAGAATCGTGTACGCCATCATTGACTGATAGGTGTACTGTTGTTTCTCATACTGTGTGCCGTTTACTGGGTATTGCAGGGACCCGTCGAAGAAGCCGAGTATCTGCGCGCCTTCCATCATCAACTCGAACTCGAACGACCAGGTGAAGAAGTCCTTTCCGTCGAAAGGTCTTGAGGTTTGCAGCTTCAGAACGTGTGCAAACTGTGATTGAACTTGTAATGCGTCCAGTGGTTTGTCTTGTCCAGGTGAAGGCTGCGGCATGAAGCTGATCGACCCGCGTTCATACGGGGCGAAGGTAGGTTGCTGCTGTTGGTTTCCGCGCGCATATGACGACCCGTCGAGGCTCATGGGCGTCGCTCCGTTGTTGTTGCTGTTGTGTGACTGTGCAGGTCCCGACTGCTGGTGCTGCTCGTAGAAGGACATGAAGGAGAAGAACTTCTCCATCATGTTTTGGTCGAAGTCCGCGGGGTGATTTGCGGGAGTCTCAGTAGACGTCACCCTTGGTCTTGTTGCCGTGCCCTCCTCTGTCTGCAGGCCAGAGGCAGGAGGTGGAGTAGGGGTGGCGCCCGGGGAGCCGTTAGAGGAGCTCCTTTCCTTGTTTGTTGCCATGTCTTGTAATGACTTGATAGTAGTGGAGTTTCCCCTGTTTGCTCTCATACCATGTTGGGCTGAGATGAGCCCTTAGGATCTTTTCAGGGGGTGAACTCTGGGTAGGAACCTTGTAATAGCGGAAGCGTTTAATGAAGAGTTTGTGAACCACCTTGCGCTAGTATGTGAGGGCAAAGTAGATTGATTATATCAAAGAGATACAAGATTATATAATAGTACAAGGAATATAAAAAAGGTACGGTTATAACTACTTTACTGTTTGCTGTTGCGGTTCGATACAGTACGACTCGGGCAACTGCTCTGTAACGAGTCAGTTGTGTGTCCTTAACTGTCGCGCTGTACTTGTCAGGTCAAAGGTCGCTTGACCTTTGACTTTCGCGTAACCTCCAGCAACCTCTCAACCTCCGAGGGTTGACTCGCACTTGCTTCGATGTTGTTTTCTTCACTTCTGGTGCGATGTTTCGACACGGCTGAAGCGCTTAAGTTTCACTGTTTCCAACAGAATGTATTGTACCTCACATACCGGCATTATCGTATCCTACAACAAATGCAAGCACGGCATATACGGTATGTAGATCGAGCGATATTGCCACGACCTTATTGCAAACTACGGTAAGCATGAAAGCAAGAGAGGAGGATCTGCTTCAGCCATCAGCACGAGGACGCAGCCGTCAAATATTGCCACTTCAGACGGTACACGTGGGGGTGAATCACTGGGTGATGATGAGGGGGCGCATCATCATGTCGTCGTCGTGCTCCACGATGTGGCAGTGCCACACATACCCCGGCCCGCGAGTTGCATCAAAGGGGAAGGGCGTGCCATCCTGCAGCAGGGAGAACACGAGGACAGCCACTTGGTCAGTGCACATCAACACTAGCCACCCATCCAGAGACTCTTTCGAAGATGGGAGAGTGGGGGCTGTCTCACCTGGGAGTACCAAGTAGCAGCCTCACTCACCTGGGAGTACCAAGGAGCAGCCTCACTCACCTGGGAGTACCAAGGAGCAGCCTCACTCACCTGGGAGTACCAAGGAGCAGCCTCACTCACCTGGGAGTACCAGGGATGGAGTGGCCTCACTCACCTGGGAGTACCAGGGCGTCCAGAGGGTGAGCACATGGCCGGGCGGCAGGATGGTGGTGTCCTTCCACCCGCGCTCATACGCCGCCACTGCCTGCTGCGCGGCGGTGAAGCACGACGGCAACGACGCGTTGGTGAAGGAGCAGGCGCCACTGCTATAGGCGGCGAGGTCGAAGGCGCGGCGCCAGGCAGGGCGGTGCTGGATGAGGTGCAGGTGGATGGGGTGCGCGTCAGGCGTCAGGTTGATCACATGCCACAGCTCGTCTGAGTTCTGCAAGACGGACAGACAACAGATGCATGCACGTCATAAAACCAGTGAACGCAGAGTTGACAACTGAACTGTCAAACTTTGAGCAGTTCGCGTCTCGAACGCAGGCAGAGTTGAGCAGCTGACCATGCGGGGTGTCTCAGTGGGCGGGTGGGAGTACATGTTGCGGTCGAAAGTGAGGCGGACGGGATTGCCGGTGGCGCGGTCAGATTCCTCCACCGCAGTGATCCACCGCTCCACGTGGTGGGGGGCACGCGGTGCACCAAGAGGACACATGCACAAGGAGTGGGAGCATGGGAACGCAAATCGATGAAGACAGTGAGGTGCGCACGGAGTGGGCGGGAAGAGATGGAGAGAGACTACGATGGGGGGTGCAGGGAAGGAGAGTGTAAAACCCAGGCGTTCACCATGAGGGTCTTGGGAATGAGCGGCACCGGCACGCGGGGGCTGTGATGGGCCACGATGAAGCGCATGACCACGATGAAGCGCATGACCACGGCCGTGTCGTTGGTGACGGGATCGCCCCCAGGGAAGGGCGCGGGGGCGTCGTTGGTGAGGATGACGTCAGCGCAGGAGGAGCGCAGCGAGGAGAAGTCAACGAGGATGTCGTAGCGCTCCGATGGCGCCACCAGCAGCGATGTGCGCACTGCCGGCCGTGGCAGGTAGCCCCCGTCCGACCCGATCTGAAGAGGGGGGGGTGCACCAAGGGAAGGAGTTGGTGAGGTGGCATCGGTTGGTAGAGGGGTGCAAAGTGGTGCTGGGAAAGATGGTGCAAGTGAAGGAGAATGAGTTGCAGACGCACCACAGTGATGGGCAGCTTGTCCCCGATGAACGGGGGAGTGAAGTGGGGGTAGTTGTGGGAGGTGGCGCAGATGAAGCGCAGATTGAAGAAGCGCGCGTTGGCTGCCCCCAACACCCGGAAGCGGTACAATACCCTCCTCACGTTCAGATACGGCCACACCTGCCATGCATGGCGCATGGGGGGGAAGGGCGCAGGGGAGTAGAAATGGAGAGTGGGGAGATCAGGCGGGAAGAAGACAGGGGACAGGAGGGAGGGAGATAAGAGGGAGCAGAGGGAGGAGTGGAGGAACAGGGGGCAGCAGCACCTTGCCAGTGACAAGGATGGTGTCATCGATGTACTCGGGCACCCAGTGCGGGTGCACTCGTGGCACCTCGCCCCGCCGCGGGTAGTCAATGGACCCGTTGGGGAAGAAGCGCCGGTCCGCCAGCACGAGCAGCACCGCGAACCCCCCCCCGCGGCAGCCAGGCGAGACCTCTCAACGCCGTGCGGGTCGGTGAGCAGGAAGAAGCCGGCGAGGCCAGCGGCGATGTTGAGGCGCGTGAGGCCGACGGCGTGGTCGTGGTACCACAGCGCCGTGGGCAGCTGGTGGTTGGGGTAGCGGTACAGCCGCGCGCGGAAGGCACGCCCCACCTCGCCGTACTGCGTGAACCACGCCTCGGGGTGCCCGTCCGCGTATGACGGATTCTCCCCCCCGTGCCGATGCGTCACTGCGGAGAAAGAGCAGGGGCGGAATACGGGCATGTTGAGAGCGTCAGCATGTAAACGGACTAGGAAGCGTGATGAAAAGCGGAACAGGGAGCGTCAGGAACGTATGGGCAAGTAAACCAATTAACCAATCGGTGAAGCAGCGTGGCTCACCAATGGGGATGCCGCCCAGCAGCGGGCGGGCGACGTCGTGGATGGCGTAGTCAACCGGGAACATGTGGTGGCGGTCCGTCAGGTGGTTCTCCCAGTACACCTGCACACGCCACGCCACACCACCCGCACCGTCCCAGTCATAGTCAGCATATGAAAACGACAAGCAGAAGAGAAGAAACACGAACTATCACTGCAAACCCACGATGATAGCAGCGGCGGGCGGGCAGGGAGGAAGAGGGAGTAGCGGGGGATTGCTTCACAGTGCGGTACCGTACCTGGGTGGGCACGCCGTACCTGGGTGGGCACGCCATACCTGGGTGGGCACGCCGTACCTGGGTGGGCACGCCGTACCTGGGTGGGCACGCCGTACCTGGGTGGGCACGCCGTACCTGGGTGGGCACGCCGTACCTGGGTGGGCACGCCGTACCTGGGTGGGCACGCCGTACCTGGGTGGGCACGCCGTACCTGGGTGGGCACGCCGTACCTGGGTGGGCACGCCGTACTTGGGTGGGCACGCCGCGCTGGGCGACGAGCGTGGGGCCGGGGTAATGCGCGGTGCCAGCGCTGCGACCGTACACGTACAGCTTCGTGGGCGGCAGGTCGCGGTGCAGCTTCTGCAGGGGGGGGGGGAGGAGAGGAAGGGGTGCAGGGGTGGAAGGTGCGTCAGCAAGGTAGAGAACGGCAAGGGCGGAAAGGCGAGGAGAAGGGACACGCGAGTGAGGGAAAGGAACGATGGGGGGGCTGAAGCAAGTGGAAGAATTTGAGGGCAAGCGAGCCAAAGGGAAGCGAGTGCGGGGAACGCGCGGGAAGGAAGCGGAGGGGCGGAGGGGGGAGCTAGCCTGGCGGATCTGGTAGGCGCCGATGCGGATGGGCGCGGCCGTGGAGGCGTCGATCTGCTCGGGGATGGACTCGCGCAGATCGTCCACGAACTTGCACAGCGCGCGGCGAGGGAACTCGCTCACGCACTCCGGCCCCGCCAGAGGCGCCCCCGCTGCTACCGTCAGCAACGGCCTGAAGCACGCGGCGACTGCTGCGAGGAGCAGCGCGAGGCGGAGAGCTGGCGAGAGAAGGCGAGGCATGATGGCGCGCGATGAGACGCACGGCACACTCCGAATGGTGGAGCGACGGACACGGAACAGACTGAGACCGGGCTCTTAACGAGTGAATGCGACGCTCGGTTGATTTGCAAGTAGAGACCACAGCGAGCCGAATATATAGCTCCAACCGCACTCGACGGCCCGGGTGCGGATTCGAAATAGCGCTCTCGCGACTCGAGAGGGCACTGTTGCTGGGCGTGGTGATTCTCAGAGAGACAGAGGGCAAACGTCAGCCTCTCGCGCGGCTTGGGATTGCAGCGGTGACAACAAGGCGCCTCCGACGCGTAAAGGGCATATTCGCCGTCGATTCGGCTACGCTGACACTCCGATCTGCGCGCGACAGCCCCGCACACGGCCATATATCGCCGTTGGTTGGACGACATTGACACACGCTGATTCTGATCCTCTTGCCTGAAAACTCTGCTATCAGCCTAGAGAGCTCCGTGATGGTAACCATCCTGCCCCTGCTCACTGCAGCGACTGATACTGATGGCCCTCGCTCTGGTGAATGTGGTGGGAAAGTCAAGCACCGTTATCGAACGTAGTTGACCGTACGAAAATGCGTCAAAAATATTCTGAAGAAACTAGCAGCCAGGAACCTGATACCGCGTTAAAGATTTGCTCCGTTGTACACCGCTTGCACGATGACATATTAGTAATTACCTCAAAGATCAGTTCCACGCCCGAGCAGTGCTGGTATTGCTGGCGTGGCAGTCGCTTTGTGAGGAAGTCTGCTGCCATGTCACATGTCGGACAGTAGGTCAAGTCAACATTGCCTTTGTCCACTTCGTCCTTGACGAAGAAGTACCGTAGCGCAATGTGCTTCGTACGGTTGACGAAGCCAGGTTTGTTTGCAATGCGGATTGTGCTTTGGGTGTCGCAGTGAAGGCGAAAGGTAGGCGAAGCTGGAATTTTCGCCTCCTGCAGGAGTTCCTGTAAGTAAGGCCTTCGTGAACTGCTGCCGTTGCTGCGATGAATTCCGCTTCGGCTGACGACAACGCAACCGGCTCTTGTTTCTGCGAGTTCCAGGAGATTGGTCCCGTTGGTTCGAGTCGGAACAGGAAGCCAGTCCTGGACCGTCGATTGTCGGGACCTGCTACGTGATCGGCGTCCACGTAGCCGATGAGATTGAAGGATGGGGTTGGCACTGTTGAGTAGCAGAGTCAAATCTTGGGCGTTGAAACGAAGACTTGCAAGATTCGTTGCAGATCCAGAAGATTCTCAGCCGTTGGTTTGCGAGAATACTGGGCTAACTGGCTCGCGATAAAGGAAAGGTCGGGCCTGCATGTGACGGAGGCGAAGAGCAGACATCCCAACTGCTGCTGGTAAGTCTGAATTCTTGCGGGGGATAGGGCTTTGCTGTCAGGTTTGTGGTTCGGTCCGGGAGTTCGGTAGGGAGTGGAGAGTGGTGAAGGAGAGATGTTAAAGCGCTTTCCTAACTCCTCTACATACTTAGCCGCTGAGAGGTGGATAGCTTCTGGCGCGTAGGAGATGTTGAGGCCTAAGAACTGCTTCACCTCGTAGTTGCAGGTGATATCAACACGCCCCGCCAGACTCTTCTCGAACTGCTCAAGTAGTTCGTTGCTCGACCCCGTGTAGAGGAGGTCGTCGACGTAGACTGTGAGCAGGATGTATTTTCCGCAGAAATCGCGGCGGTACATCCCAGGGTCATGGGGCATTTTCTTGAACCCGATTTCAAGCAAGATGTTGTGCAGATACTGCTGCCAGAGCCTCGGTGCTTGCTTGATCCCGTAAAGAGGCTTGCGCAGCTGGCATACGCGCGAGGCCCCTTCACCGTACGTATCAGGCTGCTCCACGTAGATCAAAGCATCTACTAACGCGTACAAGAACGCGTTTTTCACGTCGATTTGGCGCAGAGGCAGGTGTCTGGCAGCTGCGATGGCGAGCAGGATACGGACCGAGGTGGGGCGGCTAACCGGCGCGAATGTCTGATCGAAATCGATGCTGTGCCTCTGGTCGTATCCGCGCACCACCTATCGCCCATTGAACTGCTCGATCGTTCCGTCTACTGTGGTCTTCACGTGGAAGACCCATTTCCCCGAGAGAACTCTCGCGCCTTTAAGCGTTGCGAGGTCGACTAACACCCAGGTGTCTCGGGATTCGAGCGCCTTGATCTCCGTGTCCATTGCCTCGGCCCACTCCTTGCTGTGTGGTCCAGTGAGAGCTTGGCGCGGGTTTCGTGGCTCGTCACACGTGGCACCTTTGAGGTTGCGGTGTGTAGCCCAAGCAACTGCAGCCCAGAGACGGTGCTGTCGTGGTGATGCTGCTGGATGACTTCCTGCACGTCCTCGTCATCGCTCTCTGGCTCAGGTGGTGCTGGTGGCGCTGCGCCTCTGCCGCTTCCGCCCGTTCCTCCTCGTCGTCACTACTGTGACAATCTCCCCTTGTGAACTCGCCCCTGGTGTCCTGCTCCTGGACTGCTGCAGCGGCTCCGTCCTCGGGCGTTGCGTAGCTGTGTCCGTCATTCGCGTAGACACGATTCACGTTTGTTTCCTCGTCATGATGGATTGCTCGAGGAAGAGGCGCTCGTAGAGAATGACGTCACGCGCGTGGGTGGTCTTCTGACTGAGAAGATCTAGGATAATCCACGCCTTGTGCTCGTGGCTGATGCCGAGGTGAATGCCCCATCGCGCGCGGCTGGCGAATTTGCCGATGGTTGACGTCGGCGGGCGGTATTGCACCATGCACCCCCACACGCGGAGCATGTATGCGTCCCCCTTAGTCCTGGTCCACTTTACATGCGGGGACAGGTTGCCGGTGATGGCGGTGGTTGATAGCAGGTTGTGCACCCGCACGGCGTGGTGCATCGCGTAGGTCCAGTAGATTGGCGACAGCTTCGACTGCTTCATCAGCGCCCGCACCTTCGTCATACGCGTGCGGTTCGTCCGCTCAACTATGCCCTGCTGTTGGTGCACGTAGGGGAGAGAAACGTGGTGCTCGATCCCTTTTTGCGCCAGGTAATCCTGCATCTCCTTGCTCATGTACTCTACTGAGCCATCAGATTGCCAGATTTTCAGCTTCTCCCCAGACTGCCGCTGCGCGTGCGCCAGCCAGAGGCGGAATACCTCATATGCTCTGCTGCGCGATTCCACGTTCATGACCCACACATAGCACGTTCCGGCGTCGTTGACTCCGCAATATCCCACATTCAGGAAGTCACTATACACCTTGTGTAGCTTGGGGTAACGGTTCGTTCCTGGCTCGAGCAGTGGGAACGGCTGGTGGCTCAGCACGGCTTTGGGGCAGACGGTGCAGTTGCGCGGGTGTGTCGCGCCTCTCACTTCGGTGCCATCTGGGCGCAGTAGCGCCCCAGGGGCGAAGACTTCCGCGTTGATGCAGTTCTTCAGAGTCGCACGTGAAGGGTGTCCGAGGCGCTGGTGCTAGAGTGCATCGTCAGCACGAAAACAAGAGGTGCGCGTATAGCGCGCGCAAGCTTTTTTGGGGTCTTTATCAGGTACAGGGGTAGGTTCTGCTGATGCTTCTTCTGCTGCTTCGTCTTCGTCGTTGGCGGTAGTTAACATTAGCGTCAAAAACTCTCTGTCGCGAATCTCAGAGAAGAGGGATGGTTCCGGGGACAAAGGCAGGTTCACGCGGCTCGGGAGCAGGTCTGTCGACAGTTCGGCGCGGGGTTGACGGTTCATTGCCCCAATCGATGGTGTCCCAGGGATCGCGATGCGGTGGATTGTCAGGAGGAGGTAGTGCAGGTGGAGCATGGCGCGGAGGGCGACCAAGGGGAACAACTGCAGGTGTTGCCTCTGCTTCTTCTTCCCCCCCTTTTGTTCTTCGCGGGAAGCCCCCCAACCGCTGCCTTCATCGCCAGTTGCAGTACTTCATCCGCCGCTTGCGTTGGCCCAGGTTCTGCCGCTGTTTCCCCATCCGCCGGTGTATCTTGTTCCCCATCCGCCAGCGCTTCCCCACCCCCCTTCATTGGAGGCGCTCTCTTCTCCTTCGGCTCCCCACGCGCCGCAGGCGAATGTTCCGCGTGCTTCGGCGAGACTCTGTCTGCGAAGTTCCTCAGCTTCACGGCGCACCAGTTCTTCCTCCTGTTGCACGGTAGGTTTCGTCGTGGGATCGCGCCAGTGGGGGTAAATCTTCAGAAATTTGTCGCTGTGTAAGGGCGTGCGATTCCGCGCGCATCGAAGGTTCCGCGGCGTTGTCCACGCAGAAGGCCTTCGAGCTGCCAAGAGGGTGGTCCATCTTGAGGGCATTGATTGGTGTTGAAAACGTGCTGGGTGGTGACTTCGAGCTCCAGCTGTGACATCCCTTCGTCTGGCGGCGCGTTGCGCTCGGCTTCGGCAATGGCGGTGAGTCCGCGGCAGGAAATTGCGCTGGTTGACACCGTTGGCGTATGGCAGTCCCTGCAGATGCTGTCTGGGTCAGGGTCATGCAGCGCCACTTCGCGTGGGTGCGGGTAATGCGGCACCCACGGTCTTCCGTCAGGGTGTTTCCAGTCCCTGCGGTGGATGTGTTCGAAGCGCAGTGGAACAAGGTCGAATAACTCGTTCGAATCACTGCTGCAGTTGGGAATGTCGAAATCCAAGACATACACTCCATTTTCAGAGTGTGCTCGTCCGATCTGCCTGCGGGAGAAGGTCTTCGATTCGTAGTGCAGCAGAATGTCGCACGTCGTGCGATCTGTTCTGAGGTCAACGCCGAAGTCCATGAGCGTTGCAGCGGAAAGCAGGAGCAGGTTGAAGTGCAGGTTCTGAACGATCAGCACTTTGTTAAGCGTGATGTGCGTGCGGCTTCCACATGCCTTGAGCACGACGATGCCTTGCGCACTTGCTTGCACGCAGGCGAGTGTTGTTAGCCACAGTGACGTTGGTGACTGTGGGGGTGGCGACGGCGTTGGATATGTAACGCTCGGAGCCCACCATATGCTGGCCGCAGCAGCTGTCCAGGTACCAGGTATTGTAGCGCTTGTTGTCGTCACGTGCGAGCAGCACCTGTCGCGGCGTGAC